TCGTTTGAGTTTCACACTGAGCAAGGGATTTATCTGCACCACAGTCCGTTCAAGTACCGCAGGAAATCTGAGTGGCAGTCAGTTTCTCCATTCTCCTACAAACAACCGCATTCTGGGTAAGCCCTGCCTGCCCTCCACCGAATGAGACAAACACTGGAACATCCCACACTGACTGGAGTCAAAGAGTCAACCACTTTTCTGGAAACGTGAGTCTGCAAACCTCTTCAAGTTCGAGAATCAATTTTCCCACTGAACCTGAGCTAACCGCAGTGTCTTCCCCTCACCTTTCAGTTCCGATTGAGCAGTGTTCAGAGCAAAACTTTAATCTCCACAAGCTTCTCAATAAACCTGTTAAACTTTTTCCCTGGTCTCTCTGTAATGGTTTCTCTGCATGTGGGTCCAGGCTCTTGATAAAATCATGACAACGTGTATTTAAAATCTAATATCATGATTTAGTTTGAACACAGTGAAAAGAATAATGTGACACAATATCCCATACACTTCTTCCCCTTTCCACATCTATTCCAATCACGCAAGGTTGGGTTGCAAGTGTTGCGGCTTGGCCTGCTGGTGCAACTGCCATCAGAGGCGCGTGGACGGGCTCCTCACTCCGGCTGCCCTCTGTTGTCATGGTTGGTGTACTAGTGTTCTTCACTGGTTTTGGTTTTCCAAAGAAATCCTAAATGCATTTCTTAGGCTTTGTAAATTTCCTTGTCTGCTGCCCCGAGCGGGATACCTCCCCGACCCCTAGCTTGCTTGATGTGGCCATGACAATGTATACTACCGTTCAAAGGTTTGGGGTCACATTGAAATGTCCTTATTTTTGAAGGAAAAGCACTGTACTTTTCAATGAAGATGACTTTAAACTAGTCTTAACTTGAAAGAAATACACTCTATACATTGCTAATGAGGTAAATGACTATTCTAGCTGCAAATGTCTGTTTTTTGGTGCAATATCTACATAGGTGCATAGAGGTCCATTTCCAACAACTATCACTCCAGTGTTCTAATGGTACAATGTGTTTGCTGATGATGATTAGAAAACCCTTGTGCAATCATGCTCACACATCTGAAAACAGTTTAGCTTGTTACAGAAGCTACAAAACTTACCTTTCTTTGAGCAGATTGAGTTTCAGGAGCATCACATTTGTGGGGTCAATTAAACGCTAAAATGGCCAGAAAAAGAGAACTTTAATCTGAAACTCGACAGTCTATTCTTGTTCTTAGAAATGAAGGCTATTCCATGTGAGAAATTGCTAAGAAATTTAAGATTTCCTACAACGGTGTGTACTACTCCCTTCAGAGGACAGCACAAACAGGCCTTAACCAGAGTAGGAAAAAAAAGTGAGAGGCTGCGTTACACAACTGAGCAAGAAGATAAGTACATTAGTGTCTCTAGTGTGAGAAACCGACACCTCACAGGTCCCCAACTGGCATCTTCATTAAATAGTACCCGCAAACACCACTGTCAACATCTACAGTGAAGAGGCGGCTGTGGGATTCTGGGCTTCAGGGCAGAGTGGCAAAGAAAAAGCCATATCTGAGACTGGCCAATAAAAGAAAAAGATAAAGATGGGCAAAAGAACACAGACATTGGACAGAGGAAGACTGGAAAAAAGTGTTGTGGACACAGATTGCTCTGGATTTAAGAGTTATCTTTTAAAATTTAACTCTTGAATCAACCAAAACCATGACAGAATAATAGACTGAATGTTTCTTTGACATGTTTCTTTACATTAGCTTTTACTATAATTGTGAAAAAAATGAGCATGTTACAATTATAAAAATTGCATAAGCTTTTTTTTTTTTAAACACTTCTGCTTAGCCAATTGGCTAGTGCCTTTACATCACACACTGCTTGTTGGTAGGTGGGTAGCTTTCGTTTGACTAATTTACATACAGCATTTGGCTAAAGTGAGTTGGGATTTACACTGACGCTAGATATTATATTTTTACTTGCATACAGCAGGAAGGAAATCAGTGATTCACCTGAATGTGAGTTCTCAGGTTGGTGTTGGATGGCCTGGACTTTGACAACAGTTTGTTGTTGTTGTTTTTTTTCATTGCAAAGCAGATATCTGTACACTTATTTTTTTTATCTGAGGATTCAACAAGTTTCATAATCTCTGAAGATAAGGCCACGGTGTGGTAGGGACAGTTGGCTGCTCTTCTCGCTCTGCTCCTGTCTCCTCCTCCATCCTGTGTGTGTGGCTCTGTGTGTGTGCGTGTGTTTGTGTGTATCATTCTTTGAGTTCCACTGCTGTGCGCATGCGCATGTTTCGGTAGATACAGACAGGTGAGGCAGAATAGAGGCTCATGCGTGAATGTCCAACGAATAACTCTGATTGTTGTTTCAAAATAGAAAACCTGGTTTCATTTCTTAGTTATGCCCTGGATTTTGTTGCGTTTGTGGACGCTACGTCGCTACTTGATCAAAACAATAACGTCGCTACAGGAAAGTTACTTGATAAATAAAGTAGCGACGCTACGGTCAAGCTACTGGAACATGTAGTTAAACTAATAGCTTCGCTACATGTAGCGGCGCTACTGCCCATCACTGGTAAGAATATAGATTTATAAACGGTTGTTGTGCAGCATCTCAGGTAAGTATGGTGTAGCTGACAGTTAACCCAGCTATAGTAATGACTTAAAATGTTAATATTTTTTTGTTTTTGAGTTTTTTTTTTACTAATGGTTTATATTCAATATCCTTAGAAAAGCTGTCTGCAGTTTAGGGTCAGGTTCTGTGTAAAAGAAAAATACTTGTAAACTGATTACAATATAAATCTAAAGCAAATTTTAACCCCTTCCTCAAACGTCCCATCTAAAGTGGATAAGGTAAAAACCATTAAGTGCTTTCTTATCTCTTGTGTCATTTTGCCCTACTTTGTTGCTTTTTATGAGTCAAATTTCAGAATCTCTCTTTGATTAAGAACAGATTTAAGCTGATTATGTTTTCCACAAAAAAAAAAACTAATGTCAAAGAAACAAATATGTAAGTTAGTTCTTTAAACCAGATCTACTGTGTTACATGGACCCTTTTGCTCAAGTCAGTTTCATAAAGGAGCACAAGAAAATTAAGATCTTTGGTTGAGTTTATTTTGTGATTTAAGTCTTTATAAACACTTGAAAAAGAATGATATGCACATGATGTTTTCATTTCTGTTTTCATTTGATTGTTTATTTTTTTTTACCATTCTGGAAGACAAAAATGAAAGCATAAATAAAGATATGTCCTAATTAAATATGGTTATATCCATAATGACTGAGGATTTTTATTGACATTTTCTCAGTAAAAAGGGATAAATAATCTAGGTGTTATTTTTGGACTTTTAATTTTAAATCCCTTTTCAAAGAGGTTTCTAGTATTTCCTTCTTTCATCTCTAAAATCTTGCAGTAATTTGAGATATCCTGTCCAGCTGTGATGCTGAGAAACTAGTCCATGCATTTGTTACCTTATGGCTGGACTATTATAATTCTTTACTATCAGGAAGTCCACAAACTGTAGTTAAAAGCCTTCAGCTGATCCAAAATGCTGCAGCCAGAGTTCTGATGAAAATTAAAAAGAGAGATCATATAACTCCATCTTATATCAGAGATCTGATTGTATCTAATAGATCACTTCACTCTCAATCTGTAGGTTTACCAGTGGTTCCTAGAATTTCTAAAAGTAGAATAAGATGCAGATCTTTTAGTTATTGGGCTCCTCTCCCATGGAACCAACTACCAGTTTTAGTCCCTGAGGCAGAAAACCTGTCTACTTACTAAGGCTTAATATTTTCCTTTTTGATGAAGCTTATAGTTAGAGTGGTTCAGGTCATCCTGAGCTATCTGCTGCTTTAGGATTAGACTGCTTCATTGTAACTCTATTCTACCATCTTGCAGTAACCTCTAACTTTATCCTCTCTCTGCTTTTTCTCATTATATTCTCTTCATCCGGTCTTTTCATGTTTGTCTATCCTGGAGAGAAATATCAGCTGTGATGCTGAGATTAACATCTTTGTTTATAGATGTTGGAGCTTGGCCTGTTTTTCAGTGTAGTCCTGTCTCTCTTATTGTGACTAACCGTACATGCTCTCTTTCATGCTCTGACATGGGAGCTGGTTCGGAGCTCGTCTGCATGCTGTTTGTTTCCTGGATAGACCCACCTGTGAGGCTGATTAACAGTAACCTTTTGTGTCTTTACTTGTTTTTCTATGTCTGTTTGGTTTCCTTGAATCACAGTCGGCTTGGTGGATTGTGTGATCACTTTTGCTGTAATGCGTTTTATGCTGCAACATAATAATTTCCCCATTGTGGGACAATAAAGGGATTTTCTGTTCTATTCCATTTTATCACCGTTTAACCATGAAAAATAAGTAAAACATGATTAGTCACAACACTTGCAAACATTTTTGAAATTATGTTTAATTAAAAAATGTATTTTTTTATTGAAAACTATAAGGAGGTGTCTGGCAGATTTTGTAGACAGGACACAGTTAAACCCAGTTGCAGACCCTTTTCAGTAAAAGTTAGAAGTCTTCTTAAATAAGTCTTGTTTTCCCCTCCAGGCCAAGGGCAATTCACTATATGTTCATCCTGCATTCAGTTCCTCTTTTCAACAAAGAAGGGTATAAATCTTGTTCCTTTTTTTTTTTTTACATTTTCCCTTTTCAGCAAAATGGCATCTTTATGAGGTACACACTATAGTAAAAATTATAGTTACGCTTCTTTTAGAACAATAGCACATTGGGAACATGATTAACAATTTCATGAATTCATTAAACTCCAAACCAAAAGCACAACAGCCAAACCATGATGAAATTTTCTTCCTCTCAACTCATTTATCCATAGTTACTTTCTCACCTGCATAATAGAAAAAAACATTAGCTCAATACTCAAGTACTTACCATAATTCTAAAAAAAGACGCTGCTTAAATGTTTCTTTTCACAAAACAAAGAAAAATATATTCACACTTTTTCTTTTTTATCAGGATTTTAATAAGACCATAACTTACCTTTTAAAAGAAAACATTTAATAAGTATTTTTTCCTTTGATTCTGTGACATCTCCTCATACACATGTTCTTCTTCTTTATTGGTCTTAATCCCGGCAACATTCTCATAGACGTGGTTTTCTTTCTTATTTCCTTTTATTCCTGGCATGTTAACATACCCATTATCTGGTTCTAAAAAGAAAAATGTTTTAGATGATTGTTTTTTCAAAATGACAATGATAGGTCCAAGAGCATGATTTACAAATTAAGCTATTTCCTTAAGTTCCGTTGTAAATAATACATTAAAGCCCATTTCAATAAACCCCCTAGTCCTACTTTTTAGGGCTGGGAAATGCCTGCCAGGGAGACTGAGCTACAGTAGAGCCTTTAGCTAGACTTTAGACTAACTGGGGGAGATTTGTCAGCATTATTATTTTCTCTGTCTTCAATTTAACATTTTTAAAAATGTCACGGCATTCTGTAATCCTTTCCTATGATCTTGTGATTAGCCTATTTATCACACTGGAAATTGTCAGCTTGGTGAAGTAATCACACTTACAGGATAATGACACTTTACAGGGGGAAAAGGATGGTAAACCAAGCTCAACTTTATCCACTTTCTACAATTTCCGGTGTTAGAATATGCTTTGTTTCCTCTCTTATGGTGGCACGTATTTTTGTATGCACATACATAAATATTCATTTGTTTAGGTTCCAGAATGTCGACTATGCAGAGAGGATTATCCCAATTTATAGGGAAGATTATGAAGCTCTAACCTTTGTAGCTTCAGTTCAAAGGTGTTTGGATAGTGTGGGTTTGGCCCTAAGTGTCCTAAAATAAATTACACTTACATGTGAACTAGTTACTTGGACAGTAAAGTGAATTCAAGTTATAGAGTTACTCATACAAACCTTCTGTAGCTGATGGTGGATTAGGTTTTTTTCTAAAGATTGGAGGAAAACATACAAATTATGACTTCAACTGTCATTATCAGTTATTTAAAAAATATAACTGCTTTTAACTTTAAATAATTATAAACAATCAAGAGAACAACTTTGTGATAACTCATCACAAAATGTTGTATGATATTGTATTGTTTGCAACATTTAAAACTTACATTTTTTTATAGATGAAGAAGCCTCCAGTAGCTCCAGCAGCAGCAACTAACAAACATGCTATTACTATTCCAGCAATGGCACCTCCAGAGAGACTTGGTTGGTTTTCTAAAATAAAACAGAAGATAAAAGAAAGTAGTTTATCAAAACTTAATATTTTAAACTAATAAATGGATATAATAGTTAGTTAGTAACTGTAGTTAGTATATACAACACATGTACACTGTACTTGTTTATTGTTAAGTGTGTTAATTATTGCAGCTGCCTTCAGTATCACGCATTTTTAGGTTTTCTTACTTAAATCTGAATAGGTGGAACTAAGCGCCAATTCTCTGTCTTTTAGATTTAGTAACTCTGTGAAAGATTTAGCTGAACACCCACACATCAAGACAAAGCACACCTTTGAAGATCAGAATGCTCCGATTTTAGACAGAGAGGATAGGTGGTTTGAAAGAGGGGTGAAGGAAGACATCTTTGTTAAAAGGGAAAATAGGAGTGCAGTGGAGAATCAGCGCAGCCTGCCGGGCACACAGCCCTGGAGTGCAGAAGAAAAGGCTTGTCGGTGTCTGTGCTGGAGGTAGGAGATGAAACAGTCCTTCTAGGGCTAAATTAAAACACCTTTTTTTACAGCCAGCAAAAAATATCTAAAGAGCATTCCCCACTTCATCCTTTGTCAGCGTTATTTTCTATGCCTTCAATTTTACATTTTTAAAAATGGCATGGTACTCTGTAATCCTGTCCTATGATCTTGTGATTAGCCTATTTATCACACTGGAAATTGTCAGTTTGGTGAAGTAATCACACTTACAGAATAATGACACCTTATAAGGGAGAAGGATAGTAAACAAAGCTCAACTTAATCCCCTTTCTACAATTTCCGGTGTTAGAATACGCTTTGTTTCCTCTCTTATGGTGGCACGTATTTTTGTATGCGCATACATAAATATCTTTACATAAAGATCTTTGTTAAAAGGGAAAATCCATCACTGAAACGAGATTTTAAATCAAGTCATATACTTATTTCTATGAAATGACATCAGCACTCTCATCATGATTCGAATTTTGTTACACATACCCCATACAGAACAGAACCCAACTACTCAAGCAGGCTGATCATTAATTTGTATCTTGGAATGTGCTTAAGAGGATGGACCATGCTGCATAAATCATCAGCAATCCAACCACAGATTGCTCTGGTGTGAGCCGTCAGAATTGACAAAGAATCCTGGATAGCCTGTTCTGTGGTTGCCAGGACCCGGATGACATATTTATGCAGGGATGGCCCCTGAAATAAAAGCAAAACATAGTAGTTTGGGAATGTACTGTGACTTACCCACTATAGAGATAGATGCAAGTTGAGATGTTTGATATACTTTGGTTTTACTGTTAAAGGCCCGACAGCTGTAGTTTCCACTCTGATTCCTCTGAACACTGATTAGCTTGAGCTCATGTTCAGAATTCGTCAGATTTTTTTCATTTAGTAACCAACTAAACACGGCAGCAGGTCTGGACTCAGCCGAACAAGACAAGGTGATGTCTGAACCTTCCTTATAATGTTTCTGAGATTCAGGATTAACCTTTAATGTGACTTTTTCTGGGCCATCTGAAAGTGTAGAAAATAATTATTTAATATTTAATGACAATTTACTTAATTTATACACTAACAGCATTATTAATGAAGTGCGAGCTTAACATCGGCTTTCTCCTTGAAAGCTTTAAAGTTAATGTTACAAAAATATAAAACAATATTAGAAGCCTATATGATCCCTTAGGTTAAATATGGACACGACCGATCTATATTCAACTAAACATTTTTATAAATCTGATGTCAAAATCACCCTAACAAAAAAATGTTATTGCTAATAATTTCCAAAAGTATGCAGAAACAGCGTTACAGTTGTTAAAGCCCTGATAGCTTTGCTTAAGTTGCATTTTCCTTCTTTTTAAAAAGAGATTATCATATGTGAACAACTTACAGCTGACAGAGAGGAATACTGGATCACTGTTGGCATTGCTGACAGGATTGGACACTTCACAGCTGTATGATCCCTCGTCATTTCTGGTCACATTGACAATAGTCAGAGTGGATCCTCCATCAGTAATCTGAACTCTGTCACTGGCTGTAAGCTCAGAGGAGTCTTTCATCCAACAGAAGGAGAGAGATGATCCAGACGAGGAGCAGCGGAAGATGGCAGATTTACTAAACTCAATCAAGTCTGAGGATTCTTGAGTAACTTTTACATTTAAGACAGGCTCTGTGGGTGAAATACATAATAACATAAATCAGAAACAAACAACGAAATGTTGGTCTTCCAGGTCCGTGAGTGAAGCTCTAGTGTCAGCTCACGCAGTCCACTGGATCTTCCCATAAAGCTCAGCATACCGTCTCGCTAACCAGCAGTCTACAGACTGACCAATTTCATCTATCTCTACTCCACCACCAGTTTCAGGCCTGGTGGGGAAACAGCCATATTCTTTACACCTGTTCATATATATTTATCAAAATTAAGCGCAATGTTTCCTGCCGAGGTCGGAGCGCCAAAGACCAAATAATTCTATCAACAAATTTCTTCTAATTGTCTTTTCTCTTTGTGTGAGTTTTTCAGATTGAAATAATCCATTGAACAGGTTTATCAAATAGAAAACACAAAATTTCCAGATTCCAATTTTTTTTTTCTTGTAAATCCCTATATTGTCCCACAATGGGAAAACTCACTCTCTACATTTGACCCATCCCCTGGAGAGTAGTGGGCTGCCATTGCACAGCGCCTCGGGAGCAGTGAGGGCTTAAGTGTCTTGCTCAGGAATCCAGAGTGCAGACTGTGATTGAACTCTGTATTTGCAACCCTCTCAGAGCACGATAACACTGCTTTAACCACTAGGCCAACACTCCGCAATTGACAAAACCTTGAAATTTAAAAGTTGTACTGGTTTCATGGTGGTTGTTTTTATGGTGTCTGTGACAAGAAACCTGAGTCTGGCTGTTAATTCCAAGAGGCCCCTACAGCACCATCACCCTATAAACCTAATGAGTGGGAGTCAGGATGATTACAGTGGTTGGTTATAAAATGTAAATTCTTTTGTCTTAGTAAATATGTATGCGTTAATCGTTCCTGGCAATTTTTTCAAGAGGTTTGAAATTACGTTTGATGGATTCAGACACAAATTTTTTAAAGGTTAATGTTTGATTAACATATTTGAAAATTAATGAGACTGATATATTTTAATACATAAATGCTTTCTAATTATTATTTTACTGCTGCCCAGTGTTGAGAAACAGCAACGAAAGAGGAATTCTAAACATTTTTATCTGAGTAATAGATGGTCTTTGTCCACTGATATTTTATTTTAGAAAAAAGTTTCATGCCTACCATGAACATAGACAGCTGAAGGTGGAGATGTTTGATATCTCAGGGTTTTGCTGTTAAAGGCCTGACAGCTGTAGTTTCCACTGTGACTCATCTGAATGTTCATCAGTCTGAGTTCTGGTCCAGTTGTACTCAGAGCGTCTCCATTTAGAAACCACTGATATTCACCAGAAGGTGTTGAATCAGCAGAGCAGATCAGACTGATGTCTGACCCAGTCTTATGATGTTCTCCTGATGGATTCACCTCTGATCTTACATTGTCTGGCCCATCTGATTGTAGAAAAGAAAGACAGAAATTGTAAAAAAAAAAAAAAAAAATGTCATCCACTGAAAAAGTAAGGATAAGACATTATACAAATACGATTTGCCAAAATCAAGAAAGTACATACAATACAGAAAATCGGTTAAAAATTATCAAATGCAGAGTAGCTTTTATGTAAACAAAATACTACATTCAGTCTAAATAAGACATTGTTCATACGCTATGTTCAGATGTTCAGATTCATATTCAGATTCAAATTTCTCAAAACAACTGCTAAAGACTGATAAATAAGATATAAAGTAATCCAGCAGATAAAAATGTTTTATTCACTTATAAAACTACTAAAATAGAGTAAAATAGATTACTAAATAGAGGGATTTCTAATAATGTAAATGGGTTTATTGACTCAATTCTTCAGAAACACATATATATTGTAGATTTAGCTGATGATGAAAATCATGGAAGCATTTTTAACATGGTATGTGATCTTTATTTCACTTCTCATGGTTGCAAGTAATTAAGCAGATAGAGAACATGTAGATTAACAACTTACAGCTGATACTTATTTCTATTGGAGCACTGCTTTTAGAAGAGGCAGGATTAGACACATTGCAGCTGTATGATCCCTGGTCATAGCGGGTCACATTAACTATAGTCAGAGTTGATCTTCCATCAGTGATCTGAACCCTGTCACTGGGAGTAACCTCAGAGCTGCTGTTCAACCAGCGGAAGGAGAGAGAAGATCCAGAGGAAGAGAAGCAGGATAGACGGACTGAGCTGTTGAATTCAACCAAGTCTGCACTTGGTGGGGAGATGGTTACACCAGAGACTGGTTCTGTTGGTAGAAAAAAGAAACCCTCAAAATCAATTGGTTTTTTAAAATGTGGAAAAACAATCAACAAGATCAAATTCAGTTGATATTTCTTCTTTATTCAAGCCTATACATTGTTTAAAATTCTGTGTTTGTCTTTAATAATAATATTAATTATAATGATATCAAACTTTACATACTTTTATAATGGTATGATACCATATATGCTTACATAGAGAAGATCATTTATATTTATTCTACCAAATGTATCATTTGAAGATTTGTATTTTTTTCCTCATATACAATATTGAAATAAATTACTTCTAACAGGATAACTGACAGGTATACCTAGATCGGAACAAAGGGTTTGTTATTCATATATTATTTTTGATTATTCACCAAACTTATGACATTATAATTTGAGAGCAATCAAGCTCTTACAGGGATGAATACATTTGATGGATGAAACCAGGAGTCTAGGATAAAATAGGAACCAGAAGTCAGTTTAAAATTGTTGAAATTTAAATGCATTAATTTATTGTGTTTAACATTGACTCACCATATATCTGCAAAGAGGTCTGTCCTATCTGTTGTAGCTCTCCAGCAGGATAAATGGTGACTCTGTATTCTCCACTGTCACTGAGTTTCAGATCCCTGAGCTCCAGAGATCCAGTAGATCTGAAGAGGGTGATCCTACCTTCATATTCTGGTGCAATTATGTTTGAATCAGGATTAAGTGAGGTTATTATGGGCGAAGTTGGTGAAATATCATAATCCCAGGTAACCAATGTAAAAGGTGTCTCAGGTGGATTCAAGTTTGTTTTTATCAATACTTTCCCTCCAACAGCAGCAATGAGTTGATCGTCTGGTAAAACACCACTTCCAGTAGATAAACCTGGAAGTAAACACAACACAAAAAGAAGTCCTAGAATTAACATTTAGTCTATTTTCTTTTTAGCATGACTTTGTCTTTAAAGTTATACATTCTATGAGCGTTTGCAGCTGGAAAACATAGTTTATAATCTGCAATATGAATCCTACAAGTATTAACAAATTGAGTTAAACTAAGCAAGAGATTCATTATGACATTTATAGTTTTCTCACCCATAACCTAGGGTTTAAAAAAAAGACTAACATCTCTCTAAATCCATGTAGTTATTGTTGCTAGGGTAAGAACAAGCTTAGATTTCTGTCCTGTGCTCTAACCCATCAAATTTATTGAACAAGACAAGTAGTAAGTGGATCTGGATCATTTAAATCATTCGCTATATTTATGTGACAGAAACTGTTCATGACCTGAAATTCATTTTTTGGTCCTCTAATATTATTTCAGTGTTTTGTTTTTTTGTTTGTTTTTTATGTCCTTTGATATGCTGTTCTTGAAATGTTGTTAAAAAAAGTCCTTCTACTTATTTAACTTAGTTTAAACAGCCTAATATTACGGCTTTAGTAATAGGAACTTACAGGCCGAGTTCAAACTGTCTCTTTAAACATTTCTTATTTCTGATGTGTAGAAGGTCAAGCAACAATGAGGACAAACTGGAGCTAATGTACTTAAACAGGGTAGAAATTTGTCATTAACAAGAACATTATGGTGTTTAACCATTTAATAAACACATTTATCCATAGAATACCTGGATTTATGTTTGATTTGCTTTTTTTACTTTTTGTATGACATCTTATTCTTTCAATATCTTTTAGTTTTTAGTTTACTCATTCAGTGATATACACTACAGTTCAAAAGTTTGGGGTCAGATTGAAATGTCCTTATTTTTTAAGGAAACGCACTGTACTTTTCAATGAAGATAACTTTAAACTAGTCTTAACTTTAAAGAAATGCACTCTATACATTGCTAATGTGGTAAATGACTATTCTAGCTGCAAATTTCTGGTTTTTGGTGCAATATCTACATAGGTGTATACGTACATAGGTGTTCCAGCAACTATCACTCCAGTGTTCTAATGGTACAATGTGTTTGCTCATTGGCTCAGGAGGCTAACTGATGATTAGAGAACCCTTGTGCAATCATGTTCACATATCTGAAAACAGTTTAGCTCATTACAAAAGCTACAAAACTGACCTTCCTTTGAGGAGATTAGGTTTCTGGAGCATCACATTTGTGGGGTCAATTAAACGCTCAAAATGGCCAGAAAAAGAGAAATTTCAACTGAAACTCGACAGTCTATACTTGTTCTTAGAAATGAAGGCTATTCCATGCAAGAAATTGCTAAGAAATTGAAAATATCCTACAACGGTGTGTACTACTCCCTTCAGAGGACAGCACAAACAGGCTCTAACCAGAGTAGAAAAAGAAGTGGGAGGCTGCTTTGCACAACTGAGCAAGAAAATAAGAACATTAGAGTTCTTATTTTCTAGTTTGAGAAACAGACGCCTCACAGGTCTCCAACTGGCATCTTCATTACATAGTACCCGCAAAACACCAGTGTAAACATCTACAGTGAAGAGGCGGCTGCGGGATTCTGGGCTTCAGGGCAGAGTGGCAAAGTAGAAGCCATACTTGAGACTGGCTAATAAAAGAAAAAGATTAAGATGGGCAAAAGAACACAGACATTGGACAAAGGAAGACTGGAAAAAAAGTGCTGTGGATGGATGAATCCAAGTTGGAAGTGTTTAGATCACACAGAAGAATGTTGGTGAGACGCAGAACAAATGGGTATGCTACAACAGGACAATGACCCTAAACACACCTTCAAATTATGCAACTATTTAGAGCAGAAGCAGGCAGCTGGTATTCTATCGGTAATGGAGTCACCCGATCTGAACCCCATTGAGCTGTTGTGGGAGCAGCTTGACCGTATGGTAAGCAAGAAGTGCCCATCCAACCAATTCAACTTGTGGGAGCTGATTCTGGAAGCGTGGGGTGCAATTTCTCCAGATTACCTCAACAAATTAACAGCTAGAATGCCAAAGGTCTGCAATGGTGTAATTGCTGCAAATTGAGGATTCTTTGACGAAAGCAAAGTTTGATGTAAAAAAAATATCTTATTTCAAATACAAATCATTATCTCTAACCTTGTCAATGTCTTGATTCTATTTTCTATTCATTTTTCAATGTATGGTGGTGAATAAGTGAACAAAATTGTTTGTTTTTGGTTTCTGTTTTTTGTTTCTGTTTTGAAGTAGAAATACAATAAACATGTTTTTAATGAATTTTAAGTTAAAAGGGTTGTATATTTTTAATGATGCCCAAATTAAACAGCCAAGTAATTAGAAACTGTGTAGAAAAAGATTTATCATTAAAAGGAGAAAATATTATTCTATCAGTAAAACTGGTATCAATAGTCAACACAGATCTTTTAAGGATTCTAAGGTTATTGAGTAAAAGAGCAAAATAATTGATGTATCAAACAGTGAACACTCACCTGCAATAACTTCAAGGATGATTAAATACTGTATTGGAATTTCCATGTTATTCCAACTTAAAAAAGAAATCGCTTTTTTCTTCAACTGTCCTGCTTTCAAGTTACTGGAGCTATCTGACAACAGATGTACAAGGAAGTTAACAAGCATAATGTCTGAGCAGTACCTTTGCTAACACTTATTAATCATTTACAAATTCATGTTCTGCTTTTTCCCCTTCTTTTAGCATTTTACACTTTAAAACGAAACCTAATAATCCATATTTAATCAAATATATCAACAGAGTGTATGTTTTAAAACTGATTAGTATTCATAATTCTGAATCATGAAAAAATATGTGAATGACAACACATAACTATTTAAATATAAGCTACATTCAAGAGAAGCATTAAAAAAAAAGCAAAGGTTGGTATTACTGTTAAGAAATCAATCAGTCAATCACCTTCTCTGAAGGGTCATCATGGTGCTTTTTTCCCTCCAGATTCTGTTAGGGAACACAGAGAATGTATGTCCTTTGGTCCTTGACACTATTGTTTGAAAGAACTCAACAATTTCATTTCTAATATTTGTGGAACATTAACAAGTATTTCCTGTAAAAAGGGCCTAACAAATAAATTTGGTTTAGACTGAAAATTACCAAAAGTATTTAGTCACACCATCTTTGCCTGCAAGCTGATTTCTTATGATATTTATGCATTCAAAAACACAACTGTTTGGGTTACAGGCAAGGATCAACCCATCCTAATCTCTAAACGCTGCCATAGCTGCATGTGTATAAACTTTAGTATGGATAAACTACAGTGCTTGGCTTCATAGACCTGGCCTCAACCAATCAGAAGGCATTTTGTAAGAGTTAGAGCTTGAGTTTTGTAAATTGATAAGTATTTTTTCTGTTGCATCTTCTTCTTCTTCTCCTCTGTAGTGTCGACTGATTCATACCTGAATCTTCTCTGTTTAGAGTGCACAGAATATATTAACCAGAGGAGGGCGCTCTCTGACATCTATTTAACTCAAACGCTCAGACCTGCTGTAAATTTTCAAGGCAGTTCTCTCTACTGTGATCATTTACAGCACTCCCAGTTTACTAAGATACATAGCAGTACTTCTTTAAGTCTCTATTTGAGAGCTGAGCTGTCAAATAGACAGCTGTCCAGCGTTTTGTTCTTCGATGAGCTGCCAAGTTGGACTGAAAAGTCTGAAAACATTAACTGAGCTCAATTTGAGCATGCAGCGTGGCATTTTTAACATTATTTTTTCGCTATTAATATGTATTTATTTGTAGTTATATCTGGTTTTAGTTTTCAGACTTATTATTTCTTTTTGGTTCCTTCCAGGTTTATCTACTGGAAGTGGTGTTTTACCAGATGGTCCACTCAATGCTGCTGTTGGAGGTAAAGTATTGATAGAAACAAACTTGAATCCACCTGAGACACCTTTTACATTGGTTACCTGGGAATGTGGTATTTTAACACCTTCCCCCATAATAAACTCACCTAATCCTGATTCAAACATAATTGTACCAGAATATGAAGGTAGGATCACCCTCTTCAGATCTACTGGATCTCTGGAGCTCAGGGATCTGAAACTCAATCACAGTGGAGAATACAAAGTTAGCGTTTTTCCTGCTGGAGCGCTATCAAAGTCAGGAGAGACCTCTCTGCAGATATATGGTGAGTACATTGATAATGAAAGCCAAGATTAAATTCAGTTTTTAATGTTTCAATGCACTTTATAAAAAGTTTTAGTCCATCTGTTTTCTATCCAACAATTTAAAACCCATTTAAGCCCAAATGAAGGTTGTGTTAGGGGCTAGGTGTCATGATCGGTTTAATGAGCTAAACCCATATGCAGAACACCAACAGGAGACAGAGTAAAGTTAACAAGGTTTATTAAGGAAATGTACAGAGTAACTCAGGACTGGTTCTGATGCAGGTCCGGGACTGGTTTCACTTATTTCTGGAGAGATGAGAGTTTAGTTAGCCAGGCAGTTAGATGTGAAGTCTGAAAGTACCTTGAAGAGGTTCAGACAGATCCTTGGAATGGGGAACCGGTTGGGTCCAGAGATTGTGGGAGTTGCAGAGAGCTCAGCAGCAGCAGCGTCTAGCTTCTGGCTATTGAGGCTTAGCCGTGGGTTTTGTTCCTAGCTCTTCCCTGAGGGCTGAAGGAGGAATCCAGACTGAGACCTTCTGGTTTGGCTTCCTTGGGCAGGCAGGCAGGTTTCCAGGTAAAGCTCATCCAGAGCTTCAGACCTTGGTCAGGCTTTCTGTGAGTAGAGAAGATAGAGGCAGGTTAGAATTCAGTTTCTCTCAAGAGTCTACTGAAATCCACTAGATAAACAGAGGCTAGGGTTTGCTAACCAAACTTGGTCAACACTGCGGCGTCGAAGGAAGGTCTGACTGCTGCTTATGAAGGAAGGTCTCCTGATGGGCTGATGAGCTTCATGTGTTGGCAACCCAGTCTCATTGGAAAATGTACCCCCACTACGTTGGTCCACACTGCAAAACGTAGTGGAGGTACATTAATGGCCATTTTTTTGTGGTACTGTTACATTTCTTCTGCCTATACGCTTTCTGTTGTTTTACGTCCTAGTCACGTGACTTTCAAGATTTCAGCTGGGAGAAGGAAAAAAATACATATATGGCCGACATTCGCTCATTTTTTTGTGGAAAGATTAATGACTTGAGTTTGTTTTTGCATTAAAATGAGTTTTGATTACATTTCTAGTGAGAAATGTATAGTTTGTTGCCAGAATATTTACTCAGGGAATGTACATATTCACTTGCTTGTTCGTTTCTTGCAAAGATTTTTCAAGATAATGTGAAACTGTAACATTTTGGTATAAACATGGCTGAGATTTCTCTAACTTTTAGTGGGAAAATCAATAATTTCAATCAGTTTCTGCATTTAAATGGGTTTTGATTACATTTATAGCGAGAAGTGTAGGGTTTATTTACATAATATTTACTTAGTGAACATACATAATCACCCGCTTGCTAGTTTTTGCTACGTTTTTCGGATCTCGTCAGGATTATGTGAAATTGCAACGTTTTGGCTGCTACCCATCGCCTAGCATTTAGCTGCCGCCCCGATTCAACATTGAATTCTTTGTGATTTAACTCCATCTGACGGATCAAACCCTCGCCACTGCGTGCGTTGCGTCTGAGGTTGATTTTCAGATCAATGCATTACGTCGTGGCATACGGGAGAAACTAATTAAACTAGTTAAAAAAAGGATCATGGGTTAAGATCGGATGTGTTTTATTTGGAAATCTACCGGATCCTTTGTGCATTTAACTTCCTGTTTGGTGCGATCTCATTGATGGATTTTGACCAGATTTTTTTACCAAAGAGGAACTCAAAAAAATCAAAACAATTTGAATACACAACCAGCATATCTGGAATCAGTGACAGAGAGCGACTGGGACCAGAAGTTTATTAATTTCTCCCCATTGATTTCCATTCAAAATGTTTTCGCTCCCACCGGGCTCTATGGAAGGGGCGTGCATACCGCCACCTACTGTTCATGAGTGTGTAGCAACATTGTTTTACATCTATTAAATTCTATTTTTTAATTTTGTATTCTGAAGATAAATAAATAATGCTTTCCTTAATCTATAAATATCTTTTATATTTCCTTTATTTCCCAATAATCCTTTAAGACTCCATTCTTGGCCTGTCCTTTCAACTCTTTTCAATTTCTTCCTTTCAGGTCCAGATGTTTTAAAGTTCATCAATACAAGTTCTACATTTTCTATCTCTCCACATCCTTCCCATTTATCATTATTTTTCATCCCTATTAAGTATAAATTGTCATTTAAATAAGTATGACCTACTCTTAATCTGATCATTATTATTTCTTCCCTTCGGTTTCTCTCATTAATATTTCTATTTAATACTGACTTTTGTACTTTATATAACCTTCTTCCTTTTTATCTTCATTCCACCTTTTTTTTTTGCCATTTTTCAATTTCTTTCCTCTTAATAAATGATTTTCCTTCCCCTTTCCCTAAAGGAATTGTAATTGTTATTTGTCTACTTTTCATTCAACCTAACTTTCCATTAATTAGCTTGAAAACAGCACTTTGTAGGCACCCAGTTTCTCTAACAATGGCCCTTTTTGGGTTACCCTCCATGCATTGGGTGTCAGTTCAGTGGCAGTTCCAGAACATTTTCTTAGGGTTGACCAGGCAGTACAATAATGTGCATGTGGCCAAAAAGTAATAGGGATCAAATTCGGTTCAGTCAAGCTATTGGGATCAGGCATCAGGTTCAATTTGCATATTTTCTTAGCCAAAACAAGGATTTGTTGGGCTACTGTAATTTTGAATTGAAAAACGTCCTGAATGGGAAGTCTTCAAACTTGAAAAACAAAGTCCAAAGTTTTTTTTTTTTTTTTTGAATGATTATGACCTGGATGTCTAAGAATCTTCACCAGCTTATCAGGGAAATGAATGCCCACAATGTCTATATTCTCCAAAAGAGAATAACAGAACAGACCTTCATGAGGCCCTTGTTAAAGCTATGCACATATTTATGCATCTATGCTCTTCAAATAACTTTCTGGTTCGACTCAACATTTACATTAAATGGGTTGAGAGGTTGTTCTTTACCAGTAAATACATAAAAGATTCCCAGATGACTGCCGATACAAACTCTCCCCTATAAAACCTAAAACTAATTCTTATAAGAGAGTAACATCTGTATTAGTCTTCATTAAATGTAGCATATTGTTGTAAATAATTGATTGCTTTATTTTTGGTGTCAGCTTTTGGTCAATATGCTAACCTTAAAAGGTCAAAGTGGGAAAATGTACCCCCACTACGGGTAGTAGTGGGGTAGTAGTAGACAAATTAGCAATTAGAGGAGGCAATAACAATTACAATTCCTTTAGGGAAAGGGGAAGGAAAATCATTTATTAACAGGAAAGAAATCGAAAAATGGCAAAAAAAAAAGGTGGAATGAAGATAAAAAGGAAGAAGGTTATATAAAGTACAAAAGTCAGTATTAAATAGAAATATTAATGAGAGAAACCGAAGGGAAGAAATAATAATGATCAGATTAAGAGTAGGTCATACTTATTTAAATGACAATTTATACTTAATAGGGAGGAAAAATAATGATAAATGTGAAGGATGTGGAGAGATAGAAAATGTAGAACACGTATTGATGAACTTTAAAACATCTGGACCTGAAAGGAAGAAATTGAAAAGAGTTGAAAGGACAGGCCAAGAATGGAGTCTTAAAGGATTATTGGGAAATAAAGGAAATATAAAAGATATTTATAGATTAAGGAAAGAATTATTTATTTATCTTCAGAATACAAAATTAAAAAATAGAATTTAATAGATGTAAAACAATGTTGCTACACACTCATGAACAGCAGGTGGCGGTATGCACGCCCCTTCCCTAGAGCCCGTTGGGATCGAAAACATTTTGAATGGAAATCAGTGGGGAGAAAGATTTCAAAATAAAACACATCCGATCTTAACCCATGATCCTTTTTTTAACTAGTTTAATTAGTTTCTCCCGTATGCCACGACGTAATGCATTGATCTGAAAATCCACCTCAGACGCAACGCACGCAGTGGCGAGGGTTTGATCCGTCAGATGGAGTTAAATCACAAAGGATTCAATGTTGAATCGGGGCGGCAGCTAAATGCTAGGCGATGGGTAGCAGCCTAAACGTTGCAATTTCACATAATCCTGACGAGATCCGAAAAACCGTAGCAAAAACTAGCAAGCGGGTGATTATGTATGCTCTCTGTCATTGATTCCAGATATGCTGGTTGTGTATTTAAATTTTTTTTTTTTTTTTTAGTTCCTCTTTGGTCAAAATCTGGTCAAAACCCATCAATGAGATCGCACTAAACAGGAAGTTAAATGCACAAAGGATCCGGTAGATTTCCAAATAAAACACATCCGATCTTAACCCATGATCCTTTTTTTAACTAGTTTACTGTAATTAGTTTCTCCCGTATGCCACGACGTAATGCATTGATCGGAAAATCAACCTCAGACGCAACGCACGCAGTGGCGAGGGTTTGATCCGCCAGATGGAGTTAAATCACAAAGAATTCAATGTTGAATCGGGGCGGCAGCTAAATGCTAGGCGATGGGTAGCAGCCTAAACGTTGCAATTTCACATAATCCTGACGAGATCCGAAAAACGTAGCAAAAACTAGCAAGCGGGTGATTATGTATGTTCACTAAGTAAATATTATGTAAATAAACCCTACACTTCTCGCTATAAATGTAATCAAAACCCATTTAAATGCAGAAACTGATTGAAATTATTGATTTTCCCACTAAAAGTTAGAGAAATCTCAGCCATGTTTATACCAAAATGTTACAGTTTCACATTATCTTGAAAAATCTTTGCAAGAAACGAACAAGCAAGTGAATATGTACATTCCCTGAGTAAATATTCTGGCAACAAACTATACATTTCTCACTAGAAATGTAATCAAAACTCATTTTAATGCAAAAACAAACTCAAGTTATTAATCTTTCCACAAAAAAATGAGCGAATGTCGGCCATATATATATATTTTTTCTTCTCCCAGCTGGAATCTTGAAAGTCACGTGACTAGGACGTAAAACAATAGAAAGCGTATAAGCAGAAGAAATGTAACAGTACCACAAAAAAATGGTCATTAATGTACCTCCACTACGTTTTGCAGTGTGGACCAACGTAGTGGGGGTACATTTTCCCATGAGACTGGGTTGGTGTTGGAGGCTCCAGCCCAGGAGACCCACAGCGCTCTCTGCTGGAGACAGATGGTAACTCTCCAGATCCCAACAGTAACCCCAGTCCAAACAGAAAACAACATAAAACAGAACAGGATCCTCGGCGCCCTCTGGTGGGCAAGCCTAAGGATCCCAACACTAGGTGGATAAATGTGAAGAGACTACTGTGCTCATTCTAAAAAAACAACAACAAAGAACTGAAAAATAACTTTTGTGTTAAACAAACACGGTAAGATGTTTTTTCTTTACCATTTTTTTAAACTCACAATTAGCTTGGTTAGACCCAGATACATAAATAGCTACAATTAAAATATGTTAAACATTTCTGCAATTAAAACAGAGCTGACCTTACCACTTATGTGAGATCTTTCCCAAACTTTCAATAATCCCTCTTTCAGGGATTTGATTATTTACACATTTAAATTAATTGAAATTTGAAAAAAAAAAATCTTTAATTTGAAGGAAGTGTTATTCTAATTTTTCTGCTCCGTAAGCAGAAAAAAATGATACTTTACCAGAAAACGTTTGGAGTTGTTCATTAACAACTAGGATCATTTTCAGTAACTACCAAATAGACTTTTTTTATATATAGTTATTTTATATCAGATATCCATAACCAAAAATGTTTTAGTTAAAATGTTTATTAGAATAACAAAAAAAAAAAACATAAAAAAAAACAGATGGGCCGATTATGTCTTTCCATTAGCATGTGTTTCTACAAAAGAAAGTGAAGTATACTCTGGCAGGTTGCAGGGGTGAATGGGAACGCTGGAAGCTTAGGATCTAAACTGGAACTGTTGCTGCTCTAGCAGAGCTGTTTGCATTAAACAATAAAAAATTGTGAAGAACTTGCACTCTACTAACTTAGGTTTACATGAAAAGATAAATGTTACTCATTAAGAGTTACTCTATTGTTTTTATTTTATCTTTTTAATTTTGATGCCGAATTAAGACAAGTAAGGACTATTGCAAAGAATGCAAAGAAAAAAACTCTTATGACAGAGTTTACAAAATAACTTTTTTAAATTGAAATGTCAAGAGATTTACATAGACAAATCATTTGAATTCTTTATTCTGGTACTTCAGTTATCCACCACAAATACTACTAAAACACCTTAAATCTCATTCTAATACAAACACTTAAGAGGTTTCAAGAAACTATTAAATGACTGATCAAGATCAGGCTGTGACTAGTGAAGAAAAAAAACACTATAAATGACTGCAAACCTTTGCTGCAAGAGTGGCCTGTCAGCAGAGCTACAGTATTATGAAAACTATGGAGCAACTCTAAAAGTAGTTTCATTTTTGATTAACTTTCAAATATTAGGTTTTGTGACCCACTTTCTTGGCTTTTTAAACCTCTTAAAATCGATTTTGTAAGAAGTGACAAAATGCAATGTGTGATTGGCCCAAGCTTTAAGGAGGATTCACTGATACCTTGTCGATAAATTGGGCAAAGCAGAAGCACATCTGTTGAATTTAGTAATGCAACTTAAGAAGCTCTAGCTTTCAGTGTACTGATTGCATTCAAACCTGAGATTTGTTTGTAAGCTATTTTAGCTGCCCCCACAATTTATAAGCCACTTTCCACTTAAGTTAAGATCATAAAGTTTGATTAGGCTACAGTATCTGATGTGGGTTTTTTTTCAACATTAATGCAATTAAGGTTAAAACTCATGAAATTGAAGATTACTTAACCACCATTCAAAATATCCACTGAATAACAATTTCATTTTTGTAAACTTTGTTGTTTATTTCTTTTGATGATGAAAAATTTTTGTTTCTACCAACAGAACCAGTCTCTGGTGTAACCGTCTCCCCACTAAGTGCAGACTTGGTTGAATTCAACAGCTCAGTCCGTCTATCTTGCTCCTCCTCCTCTGGATCTTCTCTCTCATTCCGCTGGTTGAACAGCAGCTCTGAGGTTACTCCCAGTGACAGGGTTAACATCACTGATGGAGGAGCAAATCTGACTATAGTTAATGTGACCCGCTATGACCAGGGAACATACCGCTGTAATGTGTCTAATCCTGTGTCCTCTATCAGCAGTGCTCCAATAGAAATCAGTGTCAGTTATAAGTTTTTAATCTACATCTTCATTATCTGCTTAGATTGTCTTAGAACCATCAGAAATAAAATTGTGATCACATACCTTGTTAAAAATGCTTCCATGATTTCCATTATTAGCAAAAGTGTGCAATACTTTTATTTTGTTTCATTCTTTGGTGTAAAATTTAAACACATTCACATTAATAGAATTAGGAAATTCCACTATTTTAAATAAATAAACAAAATAATTTTATCTGCGGTGAAACTTCATACCTTACTTATAAGTCTATAGCATCTATTTCGAGAATATTTGAATCTGAACAAATAGTATATGTGTAATGTCTTATTTAGACTGAATGCAGCATTATTTGTGTCACATTAATCCTACTCTGCTTTTGATTGTTGACCAACTTTCTGCATGTTCTTACTTGATTTTTGCAAATAGTATATGTATAATGTCTTATCATAATTTTTTCAGTCAATGACTAAATCGACTAACCCCAACCCTTCTTTTCTACAATCAGATGGGCCAGACAATGTAAGATCAGAAGTGAAACCATCAGGAGAACATCATAAGACTGGGTCAAACATCAGTCTGACCTGCTCTGCTGATTCAAGACCTGCTGAATATCAGTGGTTTCTGAATGGAGACGCTCTGCCTACAATTGGACCAGAACTCAGACTGATGAACATTCAGATGAGTCACAGTGGAAACTACAGCTGTCAGGCCTTTAACAGGAAAACCCTGAGATACCAAACATCTCCACCTTCAGCTGTCTATGTTCATGGTAGGCATGAAATATTTCTGTAAAATTACATATTAGTGGACAAAGACCATCTATCATTCTTCTTTTTAGAATTACTTTTAATTGCTGTTTCTCTCAGCTGGGCATCACCAATCGTGATGTGATCAGTAGAAGCAGCCACTGTACATGCAAAGTCAAGGCACATGAAAAGGTCTTGCAGTGCGTCTTGAGAAGCAGAAGCAGCACATCTTGATGCATCTGAACAGCTGAAGCAGCGCCTCATGAACTTCCGAGCATCTGAAGGGCATGACGCGCTTCACAAGCAGCAGCTGCTGGATATTTGAAGGCAGGATTGTAATCTTGATGAACGGACTGCACAGATGATCTTTTGAAGTGGTATTTCTCGCTTAAAAATGTAATAAAACTACTTTTTACCCACTAATCACAGCAAATATAGAAAAGCTGATCTTTGTCATTGAACACAGAAGCAGCAGAAGCATCAGATGCATCTATACGCTTTACTTCACACACATGGTCTTTGTCATCTACATTTAAAGCGTTCGGGTGGAGTATCTGTAGGTCCATCAGCCACCACCCTTAGAGTGTCCCCACCAACTTTTATCGCAAAGTTACACCCTTGGGCCAGACATTCTCTTCTTCCCGGACCTGTCCTACTTTTCATACCTAAAAAAATGCCCAGGGGGAATTTCAAAATCGTCCGGGATTTTGGTGGAACACAGTGCAGCAGAACTGAGCAGTGAGGTCCGAAGCTGGTCCGGGAACCCCAGCGGATGGGGGCAGGGAGCTAGCAGGAGAACGGAGCAACTGAACCGGACCCGATGATGGTAACCTGGACACCGGCGGCCCCATGCTTCCCCTCGCCTGCCTTATTGACCCCAGCCCCCCTCCTTCGGGTGAGGACAGAGCGGGACGTCCAAGACTTTGCAGGGATCTTCGGATAGACAAAAATAATCCATGCCTGTCGAGTCTCCTTGGGAAGACTGAAAAATGTCACCTTTCTCCATGCAGCCTTAAACACAGCATTTATGCCTGTGGCCCTGACTCGTCGTACTCGTACTCGTCGTCTCCCGCTTTATCCGGAACCGGGTCGCGGGGGCAGCAGACTAAGCAGAGACTCCCAGACTTCCCTCTCCGCAGACACCTCCTCCAGCTCTGTTGGGGGAAGCCCTAGGCGCTCCCAGGCCAGCCGAGAGACATAGTCTCTCCAGCGTGTCCTGGGTCGTCCCCTGGGCCTCCTCCCGGTGGGACATGCCTGGAACACCTCCCGAGGGAGGCGTCCAGGGGGCATCCGAAGAAGATGTCCGAGCCACCTCAACTGACTCCTCTCGATGTGGAGGAGAACCGGCTCTACTCTGAGCCTCTCCCGAATGACCGAGCTCCTCACCCTATCTCTAAGGGAGAGCCCAGCCACCCTGCGGAGAAAGCTCATTTCAGCCGCTTGTATCCGGGATGTCGTTCTTTCGGTCATGATCCAAATTTCATGACCATAGGTGAGGGTAGGAACGTAGACCGACCGGTAAATTGAGAGCTTTGCCTTTTCGCTCAGCTCTCTCTTCACCAGGACAGACCGGTGCAGCGTCCGCATTATTGCAGCAGCCGCACCGATCCGTCTATCGATCTCCCGCTCCATTCTTCCCTCACTCGTGAACAGGACCCCAAGATACTTGAACTCCTCCACTTGAGGCAAGGACTCCCCTCCAACCCGAAGGGGACATGCCACCTTTTTCCGGTTGAGAACCATGGCCTCGGATTTGGAGGAGCTGATTCTCATCCCGGCCGCTTCACACTCGGCTGCGAACCGCCCCAGCGCACGCTGTAGGTCTTGGCAGGAGGGAGCCAGCAGAACTACGTCATCCGCAAAAAGCAGGGACGAGATCCGCTGTTCACCAAACCAGACCCCCTCCGGTCCTTGGCTGCACCTAGAAATCCTGTCCATAAAAGTTATGAACAGGACCGGTGACAGAGGGCAGCCCTGTCGGAGTCCAACATGCACCGGGAACAGGTCCGACTTAATGCCGGCAATGCGAACCAGACTCCTGCTCCGCTTGTACAGAGAACGGATGGCCCCTAATAAAGGGCCCCCGACTCCATACTCCTGGAGCACCCCCCACAGGGCAGCACGAGGGACACGGTCGAATGCCTTCTCCAAGTCCACAAAACACATGTGGACTGGTTGGGCAAACTCCCATGAACCCTCAAGCACCCTGCAGAGGGTGTAGAGCTGGTCCACCGTTCCACGGCCAGGACGAAAACCACACTGCTCCTCCTGCAGCCGAGGTTCGACAATCAGCCGGACTCTCCTCTCCAGCACCCTGGCATAGGCCTTTCCGGGGAGGCTGAGAAGTGTGATTCCCCGATAGTTGGAACACACCCTCCGGTCCCCCTTCTTGTGGAGGGGAACCACCACCCCAGTCTGCCAATCCAGGGGAACTGTCCCCGACCTCCACGCGATGTTGAAGAGACGTGTCAACCATGACAGCCCGACAACATCCAGAGCTTTGAGATACTCAGGACGGATCTCGTCCACCCCCGAAGCCTTGCCACCGTGGAGTTTTTTGACTACCTCGGTGACTTCAGCCTGGGTGATGGACGAACCCAGCCCCAAGCACCTCGTCTCTTCTTCCCCCACGGAAGGCATGTCTGTCGGGTTGAGGAGATCCTCAAAGTATTCCTTCCACCGCCCGACAATATCCTCCTTCAAGGTCAGCAGCTCCCCACACCCACTAAAAACAGTGTTAGTGAAGCACTGCTTTCCCCTCCGGAGGCGCCGGACGGTTTGCCAGAATCACTTTGAGGCCAACCGATAGTCTTTTTCCATGGCCTCTCCGAACTCCTCCCAGGCCCAAGATTTTGCCTCTGCAACCGCCCGGGCCGCGACACGCTTGGCCTCACGGTACCTGCTTGCTGCTTCAGGAGTCCCACAAGCCAGCCAGGCTTGATAGGACTCCTTCTTCAGCTTGACGGCATCCCTTACTATCGGTGTCCACCACCGGGTTCGGGGATTGCCACCACGACAGGCACCGCAAACCTTACGGCCACAGCTACGGGCAGCCGCATCGACAATAGAGGCAGAGAACGCCCCATTCGGACTCCATGTCTCCAACCTCCCTCGGAACCTGAGAGAAGCTCTCCCGGAGGTGGGAGTTGAACACGTCTCTGACCGAGGGCTCCACCAGACGTTCCCAGCAGACCCTCACTACACGTTTGGGCCTGCCGAGTCTTTCAGGCTTCCTCCTCTTCCAGCGTATCCAACTCACCACCAGGTGGTGGTCGGTGGACAGCTCCGCCCCTCTCTTCACCCGAGTGTCCAAGACATGCGGCCGAAGATCAGAAGATACGACTACAAAGTCGATCATCGACCTTCGGCCTAGGGTGTCCTGGTGCCAAGTGCACCGATGGACATCCCTATGCCTGAACATGGTGTTCATTATGGACAATCCGTGACTTGCACAGAAGTCCAATAATGAGACACCACTCGGGTTCAGAGCTGGGGGCCCGTTCCTCCCGATCACGCCCCTCCAGGTGTCACTGTCGTTTCCCACGTGGGCGTTGAAGTCTCCCAGCAGAATGATGGAATCCCCGGGAGGGGCGCTTTCTAACACCCTCCCCAGGGATGCTAAGAAGGCCTGGTACTCCGTACTGCCGTTCGGCCCATAGGCCGAAACAACTGTCAGAGTCCTCCCTTCAACCCGAAGGCGAAGGGAGGCGACCCTCTCGTCTACCGGGGTGAACTCCAACACGAGACGGCTGAGCTGGGGGGAGACAAGCAGCCCCACCCCCGCCCTCCGCCTCTCCTCGCGGGTAACTCCAGAGTAGAAGAGAGTCCAGCCTCTCTCAAGGAGCTGGGTTCCAGAGCCCTGGCTGTGCGTAGAGGAGAGCCCAACTATTTCTAGCCGGTATCGCTCCACCTCCCGCACAAGCTCGGGCTCCTTCCCCGCCAGTGAGGTGACATTCCACGTCCCCAGAGCCAGTTTAAGCGCCCGCGGATCAGGTCGCCGAGGTCTCCGCCTCTGGCTGCCGCCCAATCCTCTTTGCACCGGTCCCTCATGGTTCCCCCTGCAGGTGGTGGGCCCACTGGGGGATGGCCTCGCGTCGCTCCTTCGGGCTGGGCCCGGCCGGGTCCCGCGAGGAAGAACCCGACCACCAGGCGCTCGCCGACGAACCCCAACCCCAGGCCTGGCTCCAGGGTGGGGTCCTGGCTCCGCCGTACCGGGCGACGTCACGTGCCTCGTTTGTGTCCTCGTCATAAGGGTTTTTGAACCGCTCTTCGTCTGACCTGTCACCCAGAGCCTGTTTGCCTTGGGAGACCCTTCCAGGGGCATTTAGCCCCCGACAACATAGCCTCTGGGATCACCCAGGCACTGAAACCCCTCCACCACGTTAAGGTGGCGGTTCAAGGAGGGCCCTGACTCCTTTTCAATATATAAATTGCCTGCTTTCTTATTCTTGTAGAAGTAAACCCACTTGTAGGCTAAACAGCTAAACTAGTGTCTTACATCTTCACAATCTCTATTCATGTTCTTGGGTCAGTGAACCAGGGGGCTGTTCTGTATGTCAATTTCGGGGCGTGACAACAGTACAGGCCAGAACCAAATAAGGCAACATCCCCAAGTTGACGTTAATTTGGTGCTTCGTTTGAATTCGCCCGTTTTAATGTGAAACTTTGGAACAGTGAGATTTGCATAGAAAGGAGGTGTCGATGGGGTTTGAACTTCTCTGTACGTCCATTTTACCCACTGAACTATCGTTATTCATCTATGACCATGTAAACTCGGTTTTGCATTCTATGACCCCTTTAAGGGCTCATTATGCTTGACACATGGATTCCATGTCAGCTGTCTGTCACAGCGTCTGCAGCATTTATACTCTTTGTGACTTTACCCGTGTTCTGGCCAGTTCATGTTAATATACCATGGTTAACACTTATTTGGAGCTTAACTAGGCCTATTACTCAGTACTGTGACTTAGTTAAGAAAAATAATCAAAAGTGAACTTTGAATTCAGATACAATTTACCCAGAGTATACTATTTAAACAAGATAAGTTTTAGAATGGAATGGTCACAAATTTTGTCACAACATGGGATCCAGAACAACTTCTCTTTTTCAAGATTTTGTTAATTTTGGAAAGTTTGTGTTTTCTATTTTAGAAACCTGTTCTTTTTCCTGGTACTGTATCTGTCTGTCATGAACATGAGTCCCCATATAAAACCTATATTAGTTTGTTTCTGATTTATGTTATTATTTTTTCCACTTGCAGAGCCTGTCTCTAATGTAAAAGTTAAACAAGACTCCTCCAACTTGATTGAGTTTAACAAATCTGCCAGCTTCTTCTGCTCCTTGTCTGGATCATCTCTCTCCTTCCGTTGGATGAAAGACTCCTCAGAGATTACGGCCAGTGACAGAGTTCAGATTACTGATGGAGGATCCACTCTGACTATTGTCAATGTGACCAGAAATGACGAGGGATCATACAGCTGTGAAGTGTTCAATCCTGTCAGCAATGCCAACAGTGACCCAGTATTCCTCTCTGTCAGCTGTAAGTTATTAACCCTTACTAGGGAATTCAGTGAAATACTTTGAAAATCAAAATTTCAAGCCAATAGTTAGTTAGTTATTGGTATCCAGGACAAGACCTTTGTAAGGGGTATACAAGTGATCAAAAATGGTAACTTGCCCTATAAATGGTTAACATATGATCTCTTTTAAAAAAGAAAAACCAACTTAAGTGTTGGGATCTGGAGATTCACCACCTTTCTCCAGCAGAGTGCGCTGTGGGTCTCCTGGGCTGGAGCCCTCCAGCACACCTGACGCTCATCAGCCCATCAGGAGACCTCCTTCATAAGCAGCAGCCAGACCTTCCTTCAACGCCGCAGTGTTGACCAAGTTTGGTTAGCGAACCTGAGCCTCTGTTATCCTGATTGAATCTTAGTTGTCTCTAGAGAGAAACCTGATTTTAATCTGCCTTTGTCTTCTTGCTCACAGGAAACCAGTCTAAGCCTAAAGCTGAGCTTTGCCTGTAAACCTGCCTGCCTGCCTAAGGGAGCCAAACCTGAAGATCTCAATCTGGACTCCTCCTGCTGCTCTCAAGGAAGAGCTGGAATCTCAAACCAAGGTCTGCCACTCACAAGTCAGAAGCTAGACGCTGCTGCTGCGGAGCACTCTGCTGAACCAACAGTCTCTGGACCCAACCGGTTCCCTCTCTCACAAAGATCTGTCTGGACCTCTTCAAGGTATATTCTGAATAATCTAAATTCAACAAACCATCTGACTGCCTGGCTAATCAAACTATCCGTCTCTGCAGACATCAGTGAATCCAGCCCCGGACCAGTGCCAGAGCCAGTTCATGTTTATTGTGTGAAAACCTTTCAATAAACTCTGTTAAACTTTTACCATGCTTTCAGTGGTGTTCTGCATGTGGGTTGAGTCTCTTAAGCCAATCATGACATTAAGCAAATCTATCAGGGCTAAAACAACTGTTGTTAAAATAATACTGCACTAAGAATGCTGATCATGATGTTAGTGTTTAGAATTATTTCATTTAATAATTAGTTATCAATAACTATTAACTAATTATTTTCTACTATTTCAGATGGCCCAGAAAAAGTCACATTAAAGGTTGACCCTGAACCTCATAAACCATACGTGGAAGGTTCAGACATCACCTTGTCTTGCTTGTCTGACTCCAGACCTCCTGCAACGTTTTATTGGCTCCTGAATGAAAAACTTCTATCTGATTCTGAACATGAGCTCAAGCTAATCAGTGTTAATAAGAATCAGAGTGGAAACTACAGCTGTTTTTGTATGTTATGTCACAAATCAACAAAAAGCAGAACATAACTGTGAAGAAGAAAACAATACAGAGTTTTTAAAAATATTTACAAATACAAATCTCAAAACTGTATTTGTATTCAGCACCACAAGACCCTGTAAAACCCCAACCTCATTGCCATTAATACTACAATGGAGAAATGATTTACCTACCATTGATTTAGGCAAAATGTTTTAAATATTTATTTATTTATTTATTTTTTTTTTGACCAATGCTTTATATTAAATATAAATAAGCTGTCTGTGGTTTACGGTCACGCTACAAAAATATTTGTAAATGGATTCAAGTATATTTCTAAAGCAATTTTTAACCCCTTCCTCAAACAAAAGTGGATCAGGCAATAACGGTTAATTGCTTTCTTATTTGTTGCAGTTTATGAGTCAAATTTCACAATCTCAATTTGATAACAGATTTAAGTTAATTATGTTTACCACAAAGAAGGAAAAAATAAATGTCAAAGGAAATATGTAGGTTAGTTCTTCTTTAATCCAGATCTACTCTGTTACTGGACCCTCTTGCTTAGGTCAGTTTCATAAAGGTACACAAGAAAATTAAGATCTTTGGTTAAGTTTATTTTGTGATTTAAGTCTTTAGAAACAATATCAGAAAGTATGATATGCACATGGTGTTTTCATTTCTGTTATAACATGATACACTTTTTAAAGTTTCTGAAAGACAAAAATGAAACCATTAATAAAGATATGTCTTTATTATACACGGTTACATCCAAAATAACCAAGGTTTTTTATTGAAATTTATGATTAGACGTGGTCATGTAACCTATACATAAACCATGGGAATGCCTTGAAGACATAAAACCTGGATGACTGTAAAATTTCTGCTTCTGAATACAAAGAAAACTCAGACCGGAATGTTTGAAAAAGAAGCTATTTAGTCAATCACTTCATTTGGATGGGATTAAATTGATCTCAGTAAGAAGGGGGGAACAATCTAGGTGTTATTTTTGGACTTGTCATTTAAATCCTATACCAAAAAAGTTTTTTTTTTATTTCCTTTTTTCATCTGTGGAATATTGTAATACCGGTAATTAAAAATATCCTGTCCAGCTGTGATGCTGAGAAACTAGTCCATGCATTTGTTACTTCAAGGCTAGACTATTGTAATTCTTTACTATCAGGAAGTTCACAAACCTTAGTTAAAATACTTTAGCTGATCCAAAATCCTGCAGCCAGAGTTCTGATGAAAATTAAAAAGAGAGATAATATCTCTCCTATCCTGGCTTCTTTTCATTGGCTTCCTGTTAAAAGCAGATATAATTTAAAATCCTCCTCACATATAGAGCTTTGACTGGCCAAGCTCCATCTTATATCAGAGATCTGGTTGTATCTGAGAGAGCACTTCACTCTCAGTTTGCAGGTTTGCTAGTGGTTCCTAGAATTTCCAAAATTAGAATAGGAGTCAGATCTTTTAGTTATCAGGCTCCTCTCCCATGGAACCAACTACCAGTTTTAGTCCATGAGGCAGACACCCTGTCTACTTTAATAATAATAATAATGAATTTTATTTGTAACGCACTTTACATTTGAATTCTAATCTCAAAATGCTACAGTTCAAAAAGGGAAAATTAAAACAAAGGTTAAAAGACCATAACATTAAAAACCATGGGAGTAAAAGACAACCATTAAAATCAATAAATATGAAGGCATACGTAGCCTATTAAAAAAATCTAAAAATCAGCAATTGAAAAGCATTTCTGAAAGCAATTCTAAAAAGGAAAGTTTTCAATCCTTTCTTAAAACAGTCCACCGTCTGTGGGGCCCTAAGGTGGTCTGGGAGGGCATTCCACAGGCGGGGAGCTGCGGCTTCAAAGGCCCTGTCGCCCATTGTTTTTAGCCGTGTCCTTGGTGGGCTCAGACGGTGCTGTTGGCCTGACCGGGTCCGGGAAGAGGTGTGTGGTGTGAGCAGTTCAGTGAGATAGGTGGGGGCCGCACCATGCACACAGTGATGGGTGTGCAGAAGAATCTTGTACTCTATACGGGCGTGAATAGGGAGCCAGTGTAAAGTGTGAAGGATGGGAGTGATGTGCTTGTGTTTCCTCACCCTCATAGGACCCTGGCTGTGCTGTTCTGTAGGTACTGGAGCTTCTGAAGGCTCCTGCCAGAGATCCCGATGAGGAGAGCGTTGCAGTAATCCAGCCTGGAGGAGACGAAGGCATGGACAAGCTTATCTGCAACAGGGAGGGATAGGGAGGGGCAGAGTTAGGTAATATTACGGAGGTGAAAGAAGGAAGTTTTGCAGATAGAGGTGACATCATTGTCAAAGGAGAGGTGGGGGTCAAGCTTGACCCCAAGGCTTGTAACAGAGGGAGAAAGGGGAATGGTATAACCACAGAATGAAACAGAGGTGAGAGGAAAGGAACGAAGTTGATGAGGAGTACCAGTTTGGATGGCCTCTGTTTTTGAGGCATTAAACGGCAGGAAGTTTTGACTCATGCATGCCTTTATATCTTGCAGGCCGGAGCTGAGGCCGGTGACAAAGGTATCGGGGGAGCTGGGGGGAGTCATTTTAATGTAAAGTTGTGTGTCGTCAGCATAGCAATGGAGGTTGATGCCATGCCTGCCGACGACACAACTAAGGGGGAGCATGTAGATGGTGAATAGGGTGGTGCCGAGCACGGAGCCCTGGGGGACCCCACAGGTGGCAATGTGAGGTCTGGATTTTGCCTCCCCCAGGGCCACGTACTCGGTCCTGTCAGTGAGGTAGAAGTGAAACCAGTGGAGGGCAGTGCCAGAAAGACCAATGAAATGCTGGAGGCAGTGAAGGAGGATGTGGTGATCTACTGTGTCAAACGCAGCAGAGAGGTCGAGAAGAATGAGGAGGGACGTGAAACCGGAATCAGAGGCCATCAGCAGATTGCTGGTGACTCTGATGAGAGCTGTTTCTGTGCTGTGGGAGGGACGTAAACCAGATTAAAATTTTTCATACAGATTATTCCATTTAACGTGGTTGTGGAGTTGGGTGGAAACAACTTTTTCTAGAAGTTTGGAGATGAATGGGAGGTTTGAAATGGGTCTGTAGTTTGACAGAGGTTCAGGGTCCAAGGTGTTTTTTTTTAGGATGGGTTTAATGAGGGCAGTTTTAAGGGTAGATGGGACGGTACCTTTTTCCAGGAAACTGGCTACTATTTTGATTATGAGATGACTAATGGATTAATGGTGAGATTTGAGCAGAGGGGATGGGAGGGGATCTAAAGAGCAGGTGGATGGTTTAGATTTGCGGATGATGTTCTTGACCTCCTGCTGTGTTGGCAGAAAGAAGTGTGATAGGAGTTGTGTGGGAGATGTCTGAGGGGTATCAATAGTGGTGCTGTTTGAAGGTGAAAGTGAAAAGCGGATGCTGTCTATTTTTGATATGAAGAAATCCAGAAACCGGTTGCAGTTTATATCTGTGTGGTTGTAGAAGGAGGAGACCTGTGGTTTGAGAATATGGCTGATTGTGGAAAAGAGTTTTCTGGAATTACCTGGGTTATTGTTGATGAGCGAAGAGTAGTGAATGGACCTGGCCTTGGAGAGGGCTGTTGCATAATTTCTGCGATGTTCCCGGTAGGCCAATTTATGCACCGTCAGGCCAGATGTTTTATATGCCCGGTCCAGGACACGGCTAGACCTCTTCATTTGCCTTAGGTCTTTGGTAAACCAAGGAGCGGAATGTGTGAATGTGACAGTCCGGGTTATTACAGGAGCATGAGTATCCAGGATGGAGTTGAGGCTTGTGTTGTTAAGTCACCGGCTGATGAGAGTGGAGAGGGGGAAAGATGCTGAAGATGTGAGCTGAAGGATGAGGGATTCAATGTTTTTGATGTTTCTGAAAGTGATATTGCGTTTTGGTTTGGTGAGAAAGGTTATGGGGAGTCTAAATGTAACTGCCAGGTGATCTGAGACACCAACATCATATATGTTGAGGCTGGTGAGTGGAAGGGAATCAGTCATGACAAGGTCCAGAGTACGCCTTCTGCTGTGGGTGGGGCCATCTGTGAGCTGTTGGAGATTTAGACAGTCCAAAACCTGTTTGAATTCGGCAGTCGGGAGGTGTGTGAGTCCATGTGTATATTGAGATCGCCAATAACAAGAATATTTGAGTGTGCAGTGAAATGAAAGCAATGAAAGTTGGTTGTGGTTTAGGGGGGCGATATATGACAGCTACTGTGGCAGAGAAAGGATTATTGCATTTAAAAACAAAGCTTTCGAAGGAGGAAGCACCAGGTACAGGCAGGAGGGACACTGCAAAGTAGCTGCGATATAAAACAGGCCCCCACCCCGCCCAGTTGTTCGGGCTTTGTCTAGGTATGAGTACCCTTGTGGGCAGGCCTCATTGAGGGAGCTGTAGACATCCGGCTATTGCCATGTCTGTGTGAGGCAGAGAATGTATATTTCTTTTTCCAGAATGTGATCATGATACTTTAAAGGGTGGGCTTCAATTTTCCTTTTTGATATTAATTCAGTATATGTTCATCGGGCATTCAGTTCCCCTTTTCAACAAAGGACAAGTGTATGTTCTTGTTACTTTTTTTTTTTACAACTTCTTCTTTTCAGCAAAATGGAATATTTATGAGGTACACATTATAGTGAGAATTATAGTTACACTTCTTTTAGAACAATATCACATTAGGGTACATGATTAACAAATTAAAGAATCCATTAAACTCCAAAACCAGAAGCACAACAGCAAAACCATGCTGAAAATGTCTTCCTCTTGTTAGTTTCTCATCTGATCACCTGCATAATAAGAAAAAAAAAAACATTAGCTCAATGCTCAAGTACTTACCATAATTTAAAAAAGACGCTGCTTCAATGTTTCTTTTTACAAAATACAGAAAAATATATTCAAGTGCTTCATATTTTTTCTTTTTTATCAAGATTCTAACAAGACCATAACTTACCTTTTAACAGAAAACATTTAATTTGTTTTGTTTCCTTTTATTGTGTGACATCTCCTCATACACATGTTCTTCTTCTTTACTGATCTTAATCCCGGCAACATTCTCATAGACGTCGTTTTCTTTCTTATTACCCTTTATTCCTGGCATATTAACATACCCATGTTCTGGTTCTAAAAAGAAAAATATTGTAGATGATTGTTTTTTTTTACAAATGACAATGATAGGTCCAAGAGCATATAACACTTTACAAATTAAGTTATTTCTTTTAAGCTCTGTTGTAAATGATACATTAAAGCCCATTTAAATACACCCCATAGCCATGCTTTTTTAGGGCTGAGAAATACCTGCTAGGGAGACAGAGCTAAAATAAATTACATTTACATGAGAACTAGTTACTTGGAAAATAAACTAATAAGGACAAGGAGAGTTACTCATACAAACCTTTTGTGGCTGATGGTGGACTAGCTTTTTCCCTAAAGATTGGAGGAAAACAACACTGTTTTTAAATAACAAATGCATCGTCATCCATTTCATTGTGATCAAGCCTCCTTTTGGAGGTTAATATACATAAACATAATACACATAAATATAAATATATACATTTAAATACAAATTATGACTTCAACTACCATCATCACTTGTTTGAAAAAATATAACTCTTTTTAACTTTAAATGTATATATAAACAATCAAGAAAATAAATTTGCAATAACTCGTCACAGTTCAACAAAATTTTGTATGCTATTGTGTTGTTTGCAACATGTAAAAACTTACATTTCTTTATAGATAAAGAAGCCTCCAGTAGCTCCTGCAACAGCAACTACCAAACATGCTATTACTATTCCAGCAATGGCACCTCCAGAGAGACTTGGTTGTTTTTCTAAAATAAAACAAAAGATACAAGAAAGTAGCTTAACAAAACTTAATATTTAAAACTAATATATGGATATAGTAGTTAGTTAGAAAGTACAACACATGTACACTGTACTTGTTTGGTGCTAAGTGTGTTATTTTTGCAGCTGCCTTCAGTATCACACATCTTTATTTTTAGGTTTTCTTATTTTAATCTGAATATCTTCTTGACCAGGCATTTTATTCCATTCTATTATCATTATACATTTATTTTTTTTACCTTTTATTGTTTGTTTGTTTGTTTGAACTGATTTTGGAAACATTTAAGTCAAACCTGAATTAAAATATACTGCAAATCGTCTTGCTTAAAATATGACATTTCCTTTTTTAGGGACTGTTGGCAACCCTACTGTATGTAGAGCCATCATGTTGGAAAGGTTGACATTTACTGTGGTCCTTCTTGGCTAGCACAATGAAGTATCAGGGCATTTTTGCAAGTTTGCACTGGCTTATGGTATTTTTTAATATAGTATTTTTTATTTTAATTATTGTTTGTAGTGTATTCTTTATTTTGCTTGTCATGTACAGGACTTGGACAGAGGTAATGTATCTGTACAAAATGTGCTACCGGTATATAAACAAAGCTGGCATTGACAGTTTTGCACTGGGGCGGTTTGCAGCCAAAAGTGAAGCGGCCAGGATGAGATTCATCATGACCAAAATCATGACCAAAATAAAGAGGTGCCAGATACAACCCGCTGAAATTAGCTTTCTCCCCAGGATGGCAGGGCTCTCCCTTAGGGATAGGGTGTGTCATGATCTTGGTGCTGATGGTTCGTTTTTTACCTTTGCTCCTTGCTCCCCTGTCTAATTGGTTTTGCGGCTGATTAACGCAGATCATTTCCACCTGGTTCCTCTGCTTTTTATATTGTTTGCTTGCCTTCCATCAGCACAAGATTATTCGGGCGTTTTGGTGAGACTAACTGGAGCTTTCTGAAGTCTCTTCTGTTTTCCTGATTGAGACCTGTTTCTGCCCTGTGGATCCAGAGTTTTGCCTAGCCCCTGTCTGCTCTGTTTGTCTGATCTGTTTTGGGATTTATTCCTGGATTCTACCAGCTTCTGAAACTGGACCCATCTTCTGTCTCCGGCTTTGGATTTCCCCTTTGGACTCTGTTGCTGTTCGGCATCGGCTGGTGCCTGCTCCGCTCGCTTTCCAGGAACTCTGGGGGCAGCGCCCGCCACAAGTTGTGGTCTCACCTCCCTTCTGGATTCACCGGGAAAGGACTGAACTTTTAATCAGACATTCATCCTACAGCTGACGAGCAGCCCCGCTTTCCTGTTTGTTATAAATAAATGTTTTGAACTGTCCCACTGCCTGTCTCGCCTTGAATTTTGGGTCCAACATTCTGAGATCATTAGAGGGGGAGGACTTTGGAGTAGAGCTGCTTCTCCTCCCCATCAAAAAGAGTTAGCTTAAGTGGCTCAGACATCTTTTTTGGATGCCCACTGAGGTGTTCCAGGCGCATCTTACCAGGAGGAGGTCCAGGGGCCAACCAAGGACACGCTGGAAAGACTACTTCTCTCTCCTGGCCTGGGGGCACCTTCTGCATCCCCAAGCAAAGTTGGAAAGAGGTGTCTGCAGAGGGAAGTATAAGGGTCTCAGCTGAGACTTCTACCCCCATGACCCGATCTATAATGAAGCAGGAGACCTAGACCTGTCATCTAGGCAAACGTCCAAGGATTCACGTACATTGGTACATGGGTGCTTTACACTGACTTGTCAAGTGTTTTTTTGTAGAAAGTGAGGAACTGCTTCCTACGCTGCTCAACACCCTGTAGTAGCCATGCCCTTTTCTACGGATTTGTGGAAAGAAAAGGAGGTCAGACCAGACAGGTTGGTGGTATGCACCGATTCCAACGCAGTTTTAGAAAGTATTCAGGGAGAACGAAATGATAGGAAATATTTAGTATTAGAAATTTAGCACAGTTTATTTAGATTATACAGGAGTGGCATTGATATTTGGTTTTGTTGGGTTCCAGCACATGAAGGGGTAAAAGGAAATGAATAGGCAGACAAATTAGCAAAAAGGGCTTTAGAGGAGGCAATAACAATTACAATTCCTTTAGGGAAAGGGGAAGGAAAATCATTTATTAAGAGGAAAGAAATTGAAAAATGACAAAAAAGGTGGAATGAAGATAAAAAAGGAAGAAGGTTATATAAAGTACAAAAGTCAGTATTAAATAGAAATATTAATGAGAGAAACCGAAGGGAAGAAATAATAATGATCAGATTAAGAGTAGGTCATACTTATTTAAATGACAATTTATGCTTAATAGGGAGGAAAAATAATGATAAATGTGAAGGATGTGGAGAGATAGAAAATGTAGAACACCTATTGATGAGAAAGAGTTGAAAGGACAGGCCAAGAATGGAGTCTTAAAGGATTATTGGGAAATAAAGGAAATATCAAAGATATTTATAGATTAAGGAAAGCATTATTTATTTATCTTCAGAATACAAAATTAAAAAAATAAAATTTAATAGATGTAAAACAATGTTGCAACACACTCATGAACAGTAGGTGGCGGTATGCCCGCCCCTTCCCTAGAGCCCGGTGGGATCGAAAACATTTTGAATGGAAATCAGTGGGGAGAAATTAATAAACTTTTGGTCCCAGTCGCTCTCTGTAATTGATTCCAGATATGCTGGTTGTGTATTTAAATTGTTTTTTTTTTTTTTTAGTTCCTCTTTGGTCAAAATCTGGTCAAAACCCATCAATGAGATTGCACCAAACAGGAAGTTAAATGCACAAAGGATCCGGTAGATTTCCAAATAAAACACATCCGATCTTAACCCATGATCCTTTTTTTAACTAGTTTAATTAGTTTCTCCCGGTTTGATCCGTCAGATGGAGTTAAATCACAAAGAATTCAATGTTGAATCGGGGCGGCAGCTAAATGCTAGGCGATGGGTAGCAGAAAAACGTTGCAATTTCACATAATCCTGACGAGATCCGAAAAACCGTAGCAAAAACTAGCAAGCGGGTGATTATGTATGTTCACTAATAAAATATTATGTACATAAACCCTACACTTCTCGCTATAAATGTAATCAAAACCCATTTAAATGCAGAAACTGATTGAAATTATTGATCTTCCCACTAAAAGTTAGAGAAATCTCAGCCATGTTTATACCAAAATGTTACAGTTTCACATTATCTTGAAAAATCTTTGCAAGAAACGAACAAGCAAGTGAATATGTACATTCCCTGAGTAAATATTCTGGCAACAAACTATACATTTCTCACTAGAAATGTAATCAAAACTCATTTTAATGCAAAAACAAACTCAAGTCATTAATCTTTCCACAAAAAAATGAGCGAATGTCGGCCATATATGTATTTTTTTTCTTCTCCCAGCTGGAATCTTGAAAGTCACGTGACTTATAGAAAAGTGACAATAGAAAGCGTATAGGCAGAAGAAATGTAACAGTACCACAAAAAATGGCCATTAATGTACCTCCACTATAGTACGTTTTGCAGTGTGGACCAACGTAGTGGGGGTACATTTTCCCATGAGACTGGGTTGACCCCTCGCTCAGCTGTGTCATTAAAAACTTTGAACAACTTGTTCAGCAACAAGAAATGCTGGATCGGTTGACCACTATGTGACTGGTTTGGCAAGCCAGTCAGTACTGAGGTCCAGAATGCGGAACATTGCATGAGATTCGAGTCCAATCAAATCTTTCAAAGTCACGGGTAACCTTTTGGAAGATTGGCTTTCTAAGACGGATGTTCTCTGGTACTGGTGTCGCCAATAGCTGAGTAGCCATTTCTTGCTCCAAGTTGTTGGTCATTTTTGGACTCTTGCTGAACATGGCAAATGGAACAACTTCCTATAAAAGGTACCACCCGTGGTTGTGAAGCTTCTCAAGTACAGAGTCTGCAACTCCCTTGTCAACTTGGCGAATATCCATCATGTTGTGGATCAGTTCAAGATCATTCAGTGGAGCGCCTTCATTGCTGGCTCCATTGCTCAGTGAAGGCCAGTTCCATTGCTGCAGATATATAAAACTGTGTATATACTGTGTCTGAAAAAATATTTTTTTCAGGCACAGTATGAACATTTAGATGTGGAAAAGGTTCACAATAAGCTATTCCTGGGAAAAAGATGCTGTTTGGACATCATTTGACTGGTTACAAAAAATTTTCTAAATGTATTTAAACAAGCAAAAAATCTGAAAATGGTACATATATTCAGAGGCCTGGTGGATGTCAGAATAACTTGCTATCAATCTGTAAAGATCAATTTTAGATAAGGAATTGAGAGAATGATGTGAAAAAAAAATTCACAGATGAAAATTCCTTCATTGAATTTAACTTTAGATGGACATAGCTCAGGTTGTAAAACATCGCTAAAGCAAGCAAAAAGCTGTGAATGGGACCTATGTTGAGGACCAATGAGCGACCCTCTAGGGCCATGGTAAAAATCTTAAACTTTTTTTGGGGGGGCTTATTATAAACTAAATAATGGGAAAAACTTCAATTTGCGAGGTTTTTAAAGAATTCTTATTTTTTTAACAACCCTACCACACTAGTTCTCTGTTGTTAATACCCTGGCAG